TCAAGTGACTGCATATAACACCGCAAGGATTTAGGCAAAACATTAAAGGAATATTCAGTTTGGAAGCCTATTGTTGCTTGCCATAAGGAGCAAGCATCGAATGTCCGGTTTAAAAGAGAAAGAGACTGTAATGATAGGCACACATCTTGCTGCTTACTGTACTGGGTAATGTCACAGTGAAATATGGGAAAAAAGAAGTTTGCTTCCGCTGAAATTTCGGCCTTAATAATAGGACGGGGCGTTGGTCATTATTTTCATGAAATCGGCCAATAATGCCCTATCTCTTAGAGGTAGAGTTTACAGCAGCTGTGCCAACCAAATGTGCAGTCTTTTGTCTCCTTCCCACAGAGTTGTCTTGGTTTATCAACCTCGAAAGGTAGAAAAGTACGTTACAAAACCTGGACCTCTCGGTTCTGAGTCCGATGCTCTTATCGACTGAGCAAGACCGGTCAGGTGTATTTCTGTCGCTATTTGCGTTCATCATTGAAGCACAAATAAGCTAGATGAATGCTAAAACAGCTCAAACAAAACGGCAGTTGTTAGGTGCTGAACGAAATCCAGAGGAAAAAATTTGAATTACGCTGAAAGACGATGTTAAATTTTTTTTACCATAACAATTATTACGTTGCAGGAAATTGGGTATAAGAACAGAGTGGGTCATATATTCGTAATTACTCATTAGTTATTTGTCCTACCTTCAAATTTAACGGTGAAGGTCGCAGTTAATTTGCCAGATTCATTGTTGACGGTACAAACAAATTGGCCGGCATCTTTCTCTTTCGCAGGCTCCTGAAACAGAAACGTCTTAAAGTACTGAACACAGAATTGAAGCAAGCAGGTCAGATGGATATGAACACTGGCTACGTTTTTAAATAATCATTAATTTGGTTTTATGGCAAACAAATTAACTACAGAAAGGCAATACTACAACAAAGTAAAAGTTTAAAACAGAAGGCACATTGCGAGACAGTTGGCATGTAAATGAAAAAGCTACAACAAATTTCTATGCAAAAGCGTCACTGTCTGTTGAAGAGGGAGTCAAAAATAGAAGTGCATTTTGTACATTATAAAAACTGTTTTTCAGTCTCCATCCTCAAATTTCATCTTTGAAATATACAGAGGCCAAAGAAAGAGAAACTCTCTGACGAAGGGATAACTGGCAGGCCCTTAACGGTTGGGATATCAGACTTTTTTACAGTTACATAATGGGGGTTATTTGTGAACGCTTTATGGAACTTATGATATGAGGGCAATGTCGCCAGACAGAAATGCCATACTGGTGTTTTTTTCTAAAGCTATATACAACTTGGTGACCCTTACAGTAGTAGTGCTTTCTTTTCTTCACAAGAAGCAAAATTCACTCATCTATTGTAGAAGGATGAAAGGTGAGCGACCTGACCGGAGTTAGAATTCGTAATCTCGTGATTGTAATTCTGACTGTCTACTAAATCAGTTACCGCAATGTTAACAATGCATGGTATTATGAAGAAGCAGAAACGTTTAACTTTAAAACTGAGCAATCCATCATCCTCGTTGATGTGGCACCGGAAAACTCTACTGCTGTACATCATGAGGGGTGTCAACGCATAAACAACCTACTGACCGAAATGATACCAGAATAAAAATGGCACTGAATTTTACGAAACAAAGATAAAATCAGAAAACATATAATAAATAAAGTACCTTGATTTCCATCACGCAGTGATAGATGTCATTTGGTTCCGGATTGAAACCGAGAAAGATGCGATCAGAGCTCGAGATGTTTTCACTTTCCTTCGTCCAGACTGCGTTAGGCGGAGTCTTCGATTTGCACCTGAATTCCATGACGAGAATCTGACCGTCGTCCTTCGAAGAAATCTTCGGCTTTTCAACAAAAGTTGGTGCACTGAATCCTGCAAAAATGTTATTAAATGTTAATAATGAAAAACTGGCCAAAATAGACTAGCAAAATTTAATGAATAATTTTTGACAAGTTAATGAGCCATTTTCTTCAAACTAAAGAATAAAATGAAGCAAGTTGAATGGCAAAGGCAAGATTTTTCTGCGAAGCTACATGACATACTGTAGCAGACGGAAGTACAGATGGCTCAAGGACATATGGAATAAGTAGCATTGTCGTAACGGGTGGAATCAGGCCTGGAGATCGTATGCGCGACTGACGGAAGGTAGAAGCCATTGTTAAACCACCCTAATGCCACAATCCGAAAGAGGCACCGGCCAAAGAAAATGAAAAAATTTTTACCTCAAAATAGCAGTTTGAAAACAGTTTTAGTTTCGTTTGCATAGCAAGTAATTCATCTATACAAAAAATAATCCTAAAATGCAAAAATTAATCCTATCACTCTGCAAAAATTAATCCTAATCAATCACCTTAACAAATTCTTAGAATAAAGAATCCTTAGAAGAAATCATTCGCGTGGCGAGTCGAAAATTCTTCCAAAGACATATTAGCGGATCTGAATTAAAATCTGAGCTCCTGATTTAAGCCATCTCATTTCAACTAAGGAAATACTATAAAAAGAGAGTTACCGGCATAATGTTACATATGTTATCATTATTTTGCAAGAATAATCAGGTTCATACTCTTTTGATATACATATGGCATCATACGCTGCATTACAATATTTTCCTTATTTTCTTACTCTGACGTCGCTTTATCATAAATGTACAAGTGTCTTTTCCGAGACATTTACATTTTCATACAAATGGAGGAATAAATGTTATTATTAAGAATAATTTCAGTGTTTTCGACAGACCAGCGACAGTCGTTCTGCTTTACAGAGAACACGAAAAGACAAGGATCATTCAGTGTAAATCCTTACCATATCTCAGTCATCGTCGCTCTGACGGATCAGGTATGAAAAACTTTTTTTAAAACAAAACCCGCAGTCAAAATGAATGGTACAGAAAAGTTTTCTTTATTTCACTGCTACTCAGGAACAGATCACGGAAGAGTACATACACTACGTCACAGTGTAGGTAGTCAGCAAGCTAATAGCGAATTTAAAGTAAACAGTGCTTTTCGTGTTGGCGGAAGGCTAGCATACAATCGGGAAGAAAACGGCAGAGGCAGATCTGCTTTCAGAGAGGAATAATACGTGTCTTATAAAAATAGCGCTGTAAAGTCTCGAATACAGAGGTCTTCACAAACCAGAGAGACTTCTGCTTAAGTAAACGACTTAAGGCGATGATCATAAAAACAATTAAACAACACGAAAGTACAAGTACCTGTTAATTTCAGGTTGAAATTCGCGTTGCCTCGCCCATGGTCGTTGACAATAGCGCATCGATAAGCACCGGCGTCGCTATCGTCCAGTTCCTACAACACTAGCATATTTACAATCCTTTTTCACTTACAGCTTGCAATCAAGCACTCGTGTACACACAAAATTAGTATACAATAATCAAAGCAAACGACACCAGGATAGTTATGGTCTAACAAACATGAGGTAGAAAAGATAATCAAATAAAAGAAAAGATTAAATCATTCGTTTTAATTCTTTACAACCAGCATTCAAGTACTTCCGCTGTTTGCTTTGTATTACTGCTTAAAGAAACTTTAATCAGTCCAGCAGTTATAACGAATGAACTTGGCTTTAACAGGACAGAGAAGCCCATGTCTAACTATGGAACTTTCTGAAAAGCAACGGTGTACACAGAAATTTACTTCTATGAGTAACAAGGCCAAATCCATGTATGCGATAGAAACACACCCATTTAGGGAAAGAATACAACGAAATGTCAGTAGCTCGATTTGAGTTTGTGAAGAATAACGTTCTCTTAGACATTAGCACATCACATGCCAGGATATCGCATCTGTTCTTTAACACTACCTGGCGAACCGCCCTAATCAGGGATTCGGGAAGGACTTTCATTGTTGCTGTACTGACTTCCTTTAAGTTAGGGCACTTTGCCATGGCAAAGGTTTCATAGGCATTGCTCATAGTCCAATAAAACGAAGAGGATATTTTACAAGGAAGAGAAAACTTCGACGAATGCCTCACAATCAATTTACTTTTCAGCTGCATTCGAACAGTGATGTCTGACTGTGACAGTAAAAGCCTGCAGGCGACGGCCAAACTAATAACGGTTCTGCAGCTCTTAAAAACAATTATTGGATATTGTTTTCAATAGTGCCTAAGTTCTCCAAGACCAGATATGACAGCACATTGTACAGCCCCTTGTTCCTAATTGCCCACAGGAACCACGAAGCATTTAAGCAGCTGCGGTGCCAGATAAATTTCGTTTTATTATATTTGCCATAGCACAATTTGCCGCATATGCTTAATGTTAGTTATTAATTTACTGTTTGCTTCCATCATTTATATATGTGCAATATGACATTACGAACGCCAGAAGAACATCAGTCACTGACCATTTAAATAGTAACATGATTGATACGATGGTACTGCAGCTTGCAGATGAACTTGAAAAGAAACAAAAATTGTTTTTTAGAGGAATGGGTCAACATTGTTCAACTAACAACTGCGGCGTTAACCACCGTTCACTGTTTCACTCCTTTGCTGGAAAAACTCCTGACCATCGGACAATTACAGATAGGTGGATCGATGGTAGGGCGATGTACACACCTTTTAACGCAACTGTGATCAATACGTGATTAAAGTCATAATCAGCTGCTGCAAAAACAAACAGAAGCACAAAAACTATAATCAATTAAAGCGGATTCATAGCCTTCAACAAGAGCGAAAGAAATTTACACCAGTTTATTCAATCTGACTTCTCCAATTAAAATAATCATTAATACGAAGCCACCAGTCCGACTGAA